GTGGCCATTAATGTAAATTATAGTCTGTATTAGCATCCCACGAAAGTTTAGAGTTCATAATCGTTCCTAGATCTTTGTACTTTTCTTCATTATCTATAAAAAGCGGATCTAATTTGAATCATCTTGTTTTGACCACAAATCCATTACGCCTCTTATGCAAAGGGGCAATTCCCCGTCGTCATAACAAACAATTGACCATAATACTAAAAAAAGGACCCTTGGCGTTTACGGTAAAGTATGTAGAGCAGGAGAATATCTAAATCAATCCGTTCCATAAGATCTCTGCACAGAAATCATAAGGTCACGAAGCCCTGCTACGTACCCAGGGTACCGTTTCACAAAGCAGTCGTAAATTTACACGCTCGTAGATTTTACGCCATATTTGCGCAATGTTTACGCCATAGTCTAAGACTGTTTCACAAAGCTACACTAAAACTGGCGTAACCTCGGCCAACACTCTCCTACCCAGAGTTCCATGCGGCCGGCAGCCAGCTAGCATAGTACCTCTGCCACAGGCCAGCGCCATGTGACGATTCGTCACATCTTTCACAGTCCATTCAAGATATTGCATATGCTTTTCATCCGTTTCATGTTTGACAAGTCTACACATTTTCATAAACAAATGTCAAAGAATGGTTAACTTTCATTGAGAAAGTATGCAAATAAGTAAAAATCTACTCGTTTTTGCGTAGTTATCCTTTGATTACGTTGGTTGTACGGCTCCACGTGCTGTCATCGAAGCCCAACGGAGAGCTGGCGACACGGTCACTTTGATGCATAAATACATATTGTCATGCAACTCACTGTCGCATTTGTAGTAGCATCTCTATATAGTTATGCAAAACAATATGTAAAGCGCCCCCAAATACTTGCATTAGTCCGTTCTATACTGATTTCTTAAAAAGCGCGTTTGTTTACAAACAAGAGAAAAGTCCGGTCACGTGATATGCAAATTAGCCTGTGGCAGTGGTGTTATGCTGTGTCAACACTGCGACGGAGTGTGCTCGGCCAACTTACACGCACGTAAAAAGTACGATTGGAGCTCTTTCCCTTTGTGAGGTAGGAAAATCCGCACTAGATTTGTCTACCGTGGCAGGTGCTCTGAGCAGACGACGAAGCGCAGTAAAATGGAGGAAATTTGCGACAAGAAATCGAGGAAGAGAAACTTTTCGGCCACAGAAGTCGAAATTCTTACAGAAGAAGTTGGCAGCAAATCAGATGTGTTGTTTTCATCTTTTTCTTCTTGCATCACAAACAATCGGAAGAAGAAGATATGGGAGGATATTCTGACAAAGTGAGTGCATTTCACGGCATTGAACCCACATCTGTCATATGAAGGATGTGTTTTATTTGGAAGTGATAGACCTATGCCATTTAGAGTTATCGCGCTTGTTGTTATGCGGAAGTAAACAAATATCGATAAAAGGTGACTGTAGATCTACTTGAACTTGCAAGAGGCCTATATTTCTTTGATAGTGCAAAATTTGAAAAGGTGGGAATTATTGTTATTGCTAGGGATACAGATCTGAAATATTGTGCATAAGTGCATTTACATGTATGCACACATATAAGAGGTCGCGGAAGTATCACTATTTTCACATTATAAAACAAATTGTAAATTTCCTAAATGTTCGGCTCAGTGATTAGGAACAAAAAACGCCAGAATCACTTATTTTTAAACATCTTCCTATTTAATGGTAGACAACAACAAGGCAATTGTCAAACATGGGTGACATCGAGCAAAACATGTTATAATTTTGAAATAATTTTTGTTTACAGGATCAACGCCAATAACACGGAGGTAAGGACTCTGCCTCAGCTGAAAAAGAAATGGCAGGACCTCAGGGCTGCAGCCAAGAAGAAGGAGGTGACAAGGAGGAAGGAGATTGTGAGAACTGGTGGAGGTGGCCCTCCTACACAACTCACTACTGTTGAACAGAAGGTGTGAAACACAACAGGAAGAATATGTCAGATCATATGTAAGTAATAGTCTAATTGCCCAAATGCATGACCTATGGATTATGCATGAACATATGGATTGGGCCAGAAATTGTGATATGATACCTAGAAAAACAAATGTTACCTGTCTTAGTTATTTGTGTTATATATAATAATATAACAGACTTATAAAAAGCTTAAATTGACTTTATTTCTACTGGCATAGGGGAAATATTTAGGCAAAATACTGATACCATTTAGTTATTTACTTGTCTCATATTTCATGAAGTAACTGTGTTCTTCATTCTTTAATTATAGATTGTGAGTCAGATGTTTTGCTGACAGTCCATCACAACCAGAGCTTGTTGTTGCGAAATCAGCTGCACATCGCAACTCTGTCGCAGTTCCCTCTCTTCTGAGTAGCTCAATGCCCTGGGGAAGTGGCAGTCTTTCATTGATACACATGTTATGCAACAAGAAACAAGCCCGGACAACACACAAACTCCTTTCTGGGGTGAATTGTAAGACACCAGTTGTCTTGTGAAGGCATCTGGAAATGTGATGAAACACATTTTCTGTATTATAAGTTATTTTCCCAACTTCTTCACAGACGCCCGTTAGACAGGCTATGAGTTTGTTCAAAATTAAGTTGATAATGTTTTTTAACAATTCTTTTAAAATACTACAACAACTTAAAAAAGCTCAATTTGAGATAAGAAGTAACTCCATTTTTTTTTTTCAAGTTTTCAACAATGATACAATAAATAGATACTATTACATGTTTTCCTCTTGTAACTGTACCTTCAATATTTAACTATTTCACTTACAATAATTTCTTGGTTACATTACCAACTAACTGTTGCCACTTTAAACCGTACCTAAATCTTGACTTGCACAAGCCAAATGCTCTCTCTATTGTGTTCCGTGTCTTGATATGGCATCTATTGTATTTCTCCTGTCCTTCCGAGCTGGGATTGAGCACCGGGGTCATCAGCCATGGTCTGCAGGCATATCTGTAACATAAGTAATAAGGATATAGAGATTACTACACGAGTGTCTGTCAGATACCATTGATCTTACAACGAGTTGTTTCAAAACGTATCCAACGAGCGAAAGCGAGTTAGATACGCTTTGTAACAACGAGTTGTAAGATCAATGGTATCTGACAGGCACGAGTGCAGTAATCTGTTTCTTACACACCTAAAAAATGCACCTTTTTAGCATCGAACCGATGAATTTTGTCTATTCTCATGATTGCAGTAGCGCATTAATACATAACACCACTGTCATAAGTGACGTCATCCTATGTGCTGCTTACTACTCATAAATAATGTGACCCTACACAAAAAGGTTTATGTCATGTCTGTGGATTATCAAGGCGATGATGAAAATGCAAACTAGACAAAAACAAAGAACACGCTGGGTGCTAAGTTGAAAGTTTACACCTCAAAGAAATTACCAAATATGTACAACAATATTTTCTTCCGTATGACATCACTACCGGTGACCGACTTTTACAAAATGGCGTGTTCGCTGACAACAGAACGCGGGATTTCCAGTGGAGGATTTTCGTTGATTGAGGGATCGTATACACATAAATGTGTCATGTAAGTAATCAGAAACATTCTGACAATCTGCGTACTGTTATTTGTTTACCATGTTTTCCAATGTTACAAAGAGAATTAGTCAGAAATGTAGATAACTACCGTCATCGTTATGCGTGATTTAGCGTCAGTCATGGCGTCACACAGGACGGACTCTTTCTGTTGAATTTACCCCATCATTGTAATGTATATATGTGTAATTCCATAATTAGTGCAACGATACTCTTCCCATGAATATTCTCAAATGCGTGATCGAGCCAATGTATGCAACAACTAGACGAAAGTACCTCTAACAATGCTTCACAGTGTAAAACCTGAATTTTGCTTTGTTTACATTTCAGCAAGTAGTTTTCCGAGCACAGTTTTCGTTTCCATACCTAATTTATTTCGCATGATTTCATCTAGATAATTTGCATTGGTGACAAAGACCATTTATCCATTGTTTCGAAAATGTATGAGGACTTAAGGGATGCATGTATAGCAGCTGAGTTTGAAATATACCTGATCGAATAGGCGTCTCATAACCGGCATTTTGTAAACACAATCCAATATGGCGGAACGTACATTTCGGCGTTCGTGTATGCGTATTTTCCAAAACATTCTAAACGACTCTAGGCTTATCAGCGACGTTTCAGAAGTATCAGTAGTGTTTTGATACCTGTGATCGCTAATATGCTATTTTTCTACTTTAAATATTCGAGAAAACATCCACTAGATTCTATTTAGATTTCTAAACACACAGTAAATATTTAGGCTATATAACGCCGTGAATATTGTGATTTGGCGAGATTTACAATTGATCTAATTTTCATAAGTCACTTTCAGTAATTGCCTGAATTGCCTTAAATGACAGTAAATGATGAACAGAATTCAAAACTGTGAAGTGTATTAGTCTGCGTGATGTAGATCTATTTCGAATTTTATTCGATTTCGAAGTGAGGTTTGAAGAGGAGGGACATATGTGTCGCTGTGGCATGAAGAGGGTGCATTGCACTCTGAACAAACGATAATGTTTCCATAACAACAGATAATGTAACTGATAATAATAACAAACAAACTCGCAGACGAGGACGAGTTTGTTTATTTTTATTATTAATTACACGGTCCTGTAGTTCAATACAGACGTAGCCTAGGTGAACATTCGACTGAAGCACGAGCATCTTATGAATGACTTACACTCAGGAAAGTAGTCCGTCATCATCTGACCCCAGGTCATCACCATGGAGTAGCCAATCACGGGCCTGGAATTCGATCTCACACATATGTTTGATACCAGTTATCTCAAATGGGTTTCTCACCCACAGGTGTGTAAGAAAACACTATATCCAGACAGGTCATCAAAATATTATCAATATTGTACTAAGTGCAGTTTTGTCAGATTTGTTTATCACACATTGTAAAATTCAACTGTATTTAGCAAATGTAAGTGAAGTTCAGGTATATATGTTGTAGTTTTATTTACCCAGAGTCTCCAAGTAGCCATCCATCGATATTCTTCTTTTCAAAGTACTGACCAAGGGCAGAGTTATTCCATATATAACTGTCATGGACAGAGCCAGGCCACTTGAAGACACAGTTTGTAAATCTGAGAGAAAAATATAACAATTTATATCCATATAAATCCAACAGAAATCCAGTATTTTAAATGCACATGCATAATTTTATAAAGCTCATTTACGTATTTAGTATTTAATGTATATATATAGAGATCTACATCTGCCTACAAATAATCACTATTAATTCACATTTTAATTATGGAACAGTTATACTACATGGAAACAATGGAAATTTGAAAACATTATCACAATGGATTCATTTTTACTGGTATGCATCATGACTTATCTCGCCCAAAACGTTACCTAGGAGGCGCAGCATGCGTCAATGTCAAGGAAATCTATTTCATGTTGTAATGTTTACATTTTGTCGTGCCTTGTTCAAGAGGAATAGGAATAATTGATTTATGATAAAAGACATATCTACCATGTGTGTATGTATCTCACCTCATGTTGGCATCACATACTGCCTGTATGTTCAGTGCATGGTAACCCTTCCGACAAACGTAGGCTACTTCGTCACGTTTCGGCGCCATTATGGGTACGAGTGTGCAGTCAATTGCACCGAGTACTTTAGGGAATCCAGCTATGTCGAAGAATGATTCTTTGGTACTCTTCTGAGTGGAAGGCATTGTGGGAAATACAAAATCACCCATGGTTGCACATAATGCGTCTCTTGTTGCGTGGATTGCTCTGCAGACGGAGGATTTACTCACACCGTGGATATCGGCAATCTCACTGTAAAACCCACCCTTGGAGAAGTATCTCAGAGCAATTAAAACATTAAGGTAAGGTGGTATTGCATGGGAACGCTGGGTTTGATGTTCAAGTCTGTCACTCACTTTACCAATGATAGAAAATATCATGTGTCGTGATAGGCGGTACCTCTCGATGATGTCATGATCATCCAAATCGTCGAGGGGGTTCGACCTGTCGCGGAAAACACGTTCTCGCTTACATACTTTTTTGGCAATCTCGTCCGTGTTTGGATTGATAGCCATCTTTATCGCTTGCGTAAATATTTACACCACCCCAAGACCACACGTAGAGTTTACGCCAATTTTACACGGACGTAATATTACGGGATTGCCTAAAAGTCGGGCCGGGCCGGGCCAAGACGGGCCAAAGTGTTATTGGCTAATTACTTAATTATCGGCGATCATATCTACATATTATTGATGCAACATACACACATGACACTACTGAACAATCACCAATCCGAAACGTGCAGCATAATTAAGTAATTCGGAGTAAATCACTTAAAAACTAGAAAGTGGAGCTATGTGTTAGCGTCGCTGATCTAGGTAACATGTAAAAGAGCAATCGTTAAACGCAATAGGATTTGACACGTATCAAATACTTCTAGCTATCGTCATACGAATTTCCATCTGTCGGCATAGCGTTTATATTATAGGAACGTACTATATCTAAGTAAATACCACTTTATAACGTCACTGTTCATCGTATTTAAAGCAGACACGTTGGTTAAAGTAGACCTCTTCTCCCTATACTCTCGACAGTCACACAGTTCGCTCCGACTTGGCCCGGGCTGTCAAAATCAACTTTAAACAGACAGATTTATCTTCAAATGTGATTACCTCTATAGATTAGTGTTATATCTACATATACACCACTTTATAATGTCAGAGATCGCAGTATTTATAGAAAACAAGGGGCTCAAAGTGAAGCCCTTTTCCCTCTACATTCTCAACATAGTCTCTATCAGAAGTGTTTGGCTTGTGTTGGGTCCGACTTGGCCCGGGCGGTAAAAATCAACTTTAAACGCACAGATGTATCTTCAAATGTGATCAAATCTATAGATTAGTGTTATATCCACCTATACACCAATTTATAATGTCACAGATCGCAGTATTTATAGAAAACAAGGGGCTCAAAGTGAAGCCCTTTTCCCTCTACATTCTCAACATTGTCTCTATCAGAATCTATAGATTAGTGTTATATCTACCTATACACCAATTTATAATGTCCAGGTGTATCGCATTTAAAGAAATCTGCGCCGTTAAAGTGAAGCATTTTTACTGTATTTTCTTTAAAAAATCCAAGTCAGAAATGTTCGGTCCGACCTGGCCCGGGCTGTTAAAATCAACTTAAACCTCACAGATGTATCATCAAATGGATTCACATCTATAGATTAGTATTATATCTACCTATACACCACTTTATAATGTCAGAGATCGCAGTATTTATAGAAAACGAGGGGCTCAAAGTGAAGCCCTTTTCCCTCTACATTCTCAACATAGTCTCTGTCAGAAGTGTTTGGCTTGTGTTTGGTTCGACTTGGCCCGGACGGTCAAAGTCAACAGATGTATCAAATGTATTAACATGTATACAAAGTGAAGCATTGTTTCGCCTTAGCCAAAATTCACCATAACCTTATAGATTTAAACGTTGTATATGCCATTTTAACTGTAACCTTTTGACTGAAATCCTATTCTTTTGTAAAGGAAAATAACTTACACGTTTAGAGGCCTCCCAATCGTAAATCCTTGGTAGAAAACGATTGACAAGGTAGACGTTACCCATAAAATTGTGTCTACCTTGTCATCCGTCAACTTCAACAAAGAGAAAACAAATGTTTCAACTGTTAGATGCATGGACGTAACGCATCCTTCGATCATTGTAGTGGTCAGTTTACTGACCCGGTGTGTTGACATTTGTCATCAGCAGGTTGTCAATTACTGACCATACCAAACCACACCACGTGTTTGTGTCTACGTAAACATACCAATTGTGTTTTTTAGATCACAGACCCCTACGTATGAAATGAGTCCTTTATAATTGAAAGAAACGCCGGAAAGGATTATTCCAAATAATTAGATACTGGCAGGCTGCGTAGACGGGGCGTAGTTGTTGGCGTCTAATTGTGTCAATATTAGTACTATGCATGTACTACATGCCATTCCACTTGCCGTTATTAGTTATACAATATTTATAATTCCAAAATAAGTGAGTAAATGCTTTTGACTTCCCCATTCTCGAGATTAATCTAAGCTTGTATACCTTGTTTGATCTTATTGTAGTGTAAGTTTTGCAGCTACGTTGCTGAATAAATTGTAACTTAAGCTGTTTATTCCAACAACAGATAACGTGTGTTGAAGTCTTGGCATGTTTATATGGTGTCATAAGCTATGATCTTTAGTCAAACGTGTTAAGAAATGTAAAAAAACACTATTTCAAGACTCACACATGTTCCTTTTTTATGCTGATTCAGAAATCGCAACATTCATATTCATATTTATTGTAATGTGAATTTTAAACATGTGTTTTAACTTTCTCAATTATGTTTCGCCATTTTACGCAATATTTGTTCTTATATCAGGTGTAGACACTTACGGTTTCTTTCCCGAACGCAAATTATAATCTCAGACGATAACTAAACTGTAATTAGGAATATACCGATGCGGGTTGAGAATGCATTTACAAAACTGATTCATATGTACTCATAGAACAAACGCATAATATTTCCAATTGAGAATTATTCGTAACGTACTACTGGTTAACACATGTGAACACATCTCAATGTTGAAGATTATCGTGAATTGTTAGTATTTGTACTTACATCTGAGGTACCACTTAGGGACAAGGTTTTCGTACCTTAACATATGCACATGTACATCTTTTTTTGCAAGAAAAACACTTCCTGCACCCGAACTTGAGTTGATAACATTAATGTTTGGTTCCACAGTTCAAGCATCGTCTCACAATACGCTAATTTGATTATTCGATTATACTGGAGAAACGTTTTTGCCTTACTTCAAGTCTTGTGTCTCATAAATCTTTCTCATTGTGTCCGTATATGCACGTTAAGTGTGGAATTAATCCAAATTACACCTGTACCCAGCTTGCTTAATTGCCCCTTGCTTAATTGCAATCAAGTAGGTGTTGCGTAATCAATCAACCATTTGCCCTTAATTAGCTGTCTTGAGCTGTAGTTAATAGCAGACCGTTTCATTGATAACTTATGCATTTGGTGAGGCTAATTAACAAAACCCATTTATTTTCTTTTGAACTTTCGTTAACATGTTTGTCCTAAAATGCTTCCATAATACTTTTGTAAGCTATGATAGTGTCGTGTCCCTCGCAAATACGAAAGAAAGTTATAACATATCGCCATATTGGTATGAAAGATACTATTCCATAAAACATACTATCACTGGCCACTGACAAACATTAGCAGTATTAGAATAAGTTAGTGAGTGAGTGAGTACGGTTTTACGCCGCTTTCAGCAATATTCCAGCAATATCACGGCGGGGGACACCAGAAATGGGCTTCACACATTGTACCCATGTTGGGAATCGAACCCGGGTCTTCGGCGTGACGAGCGAACGCTTTAACCACTAGGCTACCCAACCGCCCTATTAGAATAAGAAACATAATTAAATACAGTATGACTGATAAGCATACAGAAAACTAAGAGAGCCCAAATTACTTCAGTTTCTGTACTGTACTTGGGTTTACCTCCTTTTGCATCCTGCGTATCATTCTACCCGTCGGATCAACTTGACCCGGGTGGTTAATCATCTTAAACATCACGACTGTAAAAACAAAGTTCCTAGATATATATAGAACTTTAATTTACGGCGTCTTTTAACCATCACGACCATAATACTGAGTGGTCCAAGTCAGGTTCAGGAGAAGTGTGTTTTCACAGTAGGAGCTTTGTCGGAAATGGCTGCTCGGAGATGCAGCATGTATTCTCGCGGTATGGCAGATTACAACTGTCCTAGATAGTCCTGTATCCTAAACACAGAGATAATAGAAGCATTAAGCAGGGTTGAGGGAGAGGTTTTAATCTGAAATCCAAAGTGTCTCACCTTACCTTCTCCAAGTGTTACCCTATATAAGTGACGAGGTAGCGCACTGACATCTGACATCACTGACACCTACATAGGTAGCCCACCACAATTAGAGGAACAGCCCAATCCTCAGCCCACATGGGACTATGCAAAGGCTGACTGGCCTAAATTCAGGAAGGAATGTGTATCATTCAAGTCCTCAGAAATTGCCTCGGATGATCCTGATCTTTTTTGCCAAAATATCACCTCAGCAATTATTGCCGCAGCTGAAAAATCAATTCCATAAAAAGACCACAAAACTGGCAAAACGCCGGTACCATGGTGGAACAGGGAAATAGCAAAAGCTAGGAGAGTGAGAAAGAAAGCCCTAAATAGGTCAAAAAGGGATAAATCAGCCTTTGCCCAAGTCCGAGCAGCCAGGACGAAAGTAAGACAACTCATAGACGATTCTAAAAAAGAGTCATGGCAGACCTTCTGCAAATCCCTTAATGAGAAAACAAATGCTAAAACAGTCTGGAACAAAATACACGCAATCAGGGGTAAGCGTAAACCCACAAAAATTCCCAAGTTAGCCAACGCCCATACAGTCAAAGAAAAGGCCAACATTCTAGCTGAGCACTTCTCATCTGTCAGCAGCAACACAAATTGCAGCGAAGAATTCAAACAGGCAAAAATGCTTATGCCTAAGATCTCAAAACGGCCGCAAAGCAAGCATCTGGTATACAATATACCATTTACTGTGACAGAGTTTGATGATGCGATACAACATAGAAAAGGCACAGCACCTGGTCTTGACACAACCAGCTACGAGATATTGAAAAACCTACCTGATCAAACCAAAGGCTTACTCACTGAGTTGTATAACACGATGTGGTCCAAAGGAGAAGTCCCAAAAGCATGGAAACATGCTGCGGTTATCCCGCTGCTAAAGCAAGGGAAAGACGAAGCCCTACCAAACTCTTATCGACCGATCTCACTCACCTCAAACATGTGCAAAGCCATGGAAGCCATGGCTACGAAAAGGCTCATGCATCATCTTGAAACTGGCAACCACATAAAACCTGACCAAAGTGGCTTCAGGAAGGGACACTCGTGTCTAGATCATATTCTAAGACTGGAAAATGAAATAAAAAAAGCCCAATTAAACAGACAATACCTAGCCGCAGTATTTCTGGACTTCAGC